ACCAAGAGTTTGAGGATAGCCTGGGCTATATATAGCAAGTCCTTGTCAAACAAGAAAGAGGGTGGGTAGAGAGACCAAACAAGACAGCAGAATGAGAGAGAAATGGAGCACACAAGGTAGATGTTTCAAGGAGTGAATAGAAAAGAATGCATTGTAAGTTGTATTAGAGTGATCCAGAGAAAGCAAACCATAAGAGATTTACTGAAAAAAGTAGGAAAGAGAGAAGAGGAGAAGGGAGGGAAGGGGAGAATGGAAGAGGGAAGACCAGATTGAGAGATTATGAGGAATTATTCATGATTAAGAATGCTGAGAAATCCTGTGAAGAGCATGAAATGTTCTTCGGTTCAGTTGGAATCTAAAGGCCTGACAATCAATGGGCTAATGATCTCAGCTCACAGCAGAAGACAAATATCCTAATTTCAAGAAGAGAGCAAAGTCAAGAAGGCAAATTCTCTCTCTCCTCACCCTTCTATTCAGCCTATGCACATAGTACACTCACTCAAATGCTTACCTTATCTGGAAATACCGTCACAGATACCCTGAAACCAAAAAAATTACCTATTACACACAGAAGTATTTTTTGCCAAGTATCTGCTACTTTGGATTACTACTTTCCCTCTCCACTGTATAGTCACAATCCCCTTCTCTTCGCTTTCTGCAAAGTGCTGAGGACTCAACATAACTGTTATCTACAAATTTTCCATTTTGTGTCAACCTCTTTCACTTTTCACATCAGCCATAGTTCACATTGCTTTTACATTTGCATTGATCATCGTATCTCTGTTAGCTTGTACTATATAAATAAAGGGGAAGAGTTGCTTAATTTTTATTTAGCCTGGCAAGAACTTTAAGAGCAAAAATTTTATATCAAGTAACTATTTTCTCCAGAGAAAGTGTAAATGACACTGTCCAATTAAAGACACTTATGTCTCCCTGAGTTGGTTCTCAGTCTGCAAGTTCACACATAATGCCTAACAAGGTATTTCTCACTCAACGCCTAGAGTGAATAATGACATCACAATATGCATGGCTCTGAGTATTTTCCAAATGTGCTGACCCCCTGAGTTTCCAAATGGCTTCTTCGTGTGCTGTTAAGGACCATCTGGCTAGCTGTAGATAAACAAGTTTCAACATATGGGCCATAACACATACACAGCTCTGCTTCATTAGAGCAGAAAATTAAGAAAAGGTCACTCTCTTGATATAAGGGACTCATGCACAGAAGCAGTACTGTGTGGTGAAGGGCCAGGCCCGAAGTGTGCACAGAAGAGTTTAATTCTGATTTCTTCTGCCACTCTCTGGGCCCACTCCTTTGTTCAGGCCAAGTCTCCTCAGTTCCTCATACAAAGCTTAGGGGGAAAAAACATTTATAGATTCTAAATTGCTAGCCCAAGTCTTCCATACTTGGAAGGGGGAACAAAAGCAGACCATGGTTTAGGTTGCAGGGAGGGAGGAGTGTTCTGAGCTGGTGAAGAGAATAAAGGAAGTGGAATACTGTTCAAATAGATTATCTGGAACTTTGAAAAAGGAACTTTGAAACATGTTGGGGTTGATGTGGAGAATAGTAGGGGGAGTAATGGGGGTGCAATATTGATTGGTACAGAGTATAAACATGTAGAGATGTAACTATGAAATCTTCCCCACATAAATAAGGAAAAGGAGGGGTGGGGAGTTCACAAGACTCCACTCAACCAAGGGCTGGATGTGGTGATGTATGACTGTCATGCCGAGATACTTGGGAAACACAATGGCGGGATGCAGTGGCAAGCACCAGTCATCCCAATGACAAGGGGAAGTATAAATAAGAGAATGACAGTCCAAACCAGCCTGACCATAAAAAACAGGATCCGGTCTCAAAAATAACCAACCCAAAGCAGAACTGGTGGGGTCACTCAAGTGGCAGAGTGCCTGGCTAGCAAGTACAAGGTCTTCAGTTCAAACCACAGTACTGCAAAATAAAGAAATAAATCACTGCCAAGTCAATTCTGAATTTCTGATACATACCTCCTCTCTTCCTTTTTCCACTTCGTTTCCATCCTTCCTTTCTTCTATCTTTCCTCCCTCCCTTTTTGCCCCTCCAACCCTGACAATGGCTCGAGCCCATAATCCTAGAATGAGATTGGGAAGACTGTTGTTCCAAGACCAGGTCTGACAGAAAATTCTGGGAGATTCCATTTTAACAGAAACAATTTGGGCATCGAGGGACATACTTTTGTCATCTATAGTGGAGAGTGGCAGATTGAGGTCAGATGGATTCCCAGGCAAAAATTGAGATCTTATGGCAAAATAACAAGTGGAAAAAATGCCTAGAGGTGTAACTCAGCAGTAGAGTACCTGCCTAGAATATGCAAAGTCCTGAGTTCAAACGCCAATACCCAAAAAAGACAAAGGAAAAAGAAAATAAATATTATATATATATATATATATATATATAGTGTGTGTGTGTGTGTGTGTGTGTGTTCTCAGCACAGTGCCACGTAAATGCTTCACATGATAGTGAGGAAAACAACGATGAAGACATGTTATCAAATAAATGAGAACAGGAAGAGTATCCCAGATAGAGAAGGAAAACATGTGCAAAGGTCCTATAACAGTAAAGAGCATCATCTATTTAAAACAACTCAACATTTGTGGTCCAGGTGTGTGGCTCATACCTGTAATCCCAGCTACTTGAGACGTGGAGATCTAGTACAGTGGATTGAGGCCATTAAAGCAAGAAGTTAGCAAGGCTTCATCTTGCTAATGAATCAAGAAAATGTGGTATAAAATACACGACAGAAATTTACTCATAGCTCGGAAAGAAAGATATCACCTGCAAAGAAACGGAAGAACCTAGACAAATCATGTTAAATGAACCAAGTCAGGCCATGGAGAGACACAGGATGCACATTCTCTCTCATAACTGGAAGCCAGAATTAATTTATAAATGTATAGGTAAAGACTCTGGGATGGTATATAAGTTTACACAAATTTATTAACCAAAACATGTAGAGTCAGAGGAGATTGCAAATGGTATCATTCTTTAGAAAGGCTAACTTTCAGCCCAAAGAAAGAAACACCAGGAAACAGTTCATCAAAAGGGAGAAATCAAGAGAAAAGGGGAGAGGAACGAAGAGGAAGGCGAGGCGGGGGGGGGGGGGGGGGGGGGAGTGGAATGCAGTCTTGCAATGCCTATTGTATAAAATTAAGAACGTTGAGGGAAGGTGCAGGGTTGGGGGGATGGGAGAGAATGATAAAAGGGTGACATTAATCAAGATGCACTCTCTTCATAAACTGCTTTGATGAGTGCCAATTCCTTTATTTAGCTACTTAAAATAATAAAAATACATTTTTTAAAGTTAGCAAGACCCTATCTCAATTAATATCCAGGAATGGTGATGTGCATTCAGAGGTGATTCCAGATACACAAGAGGCCATAGGTAGAATTGTGGTCTGAGGTTAACACTGGACAAAAGTTCTAGCCTTAGAAATGTTAAGCAGGGTCCAATACTAGACCTTACCTGAAAAATAACTAAAAGCAATAAAGGAGAGTGGCGTTAAGGGCATGCGCGCCTGTGGCGGAGCACCTGCCTAACAAGCATGAGGCCTTGACAGCAAAGACCATGATCACAAACAAAGAACTCGTGACTATTGATATGTAGTGAATTAAGGATTCCGCTGATAATTCAAATGTTGCAAGGAAAAATCCCACCATCTCCAAATACTTACTATACTGGCATAAACTAGCCTGCATTTTAACATTTGTATTGAGTTCATTGCTACAACCAATTAATTGATTAAACTATAAAAAATATGATCATCAGATATATATATATCAATATATCAATATCTATATAACTATGTATAGCTAGATATAGATATAATAAGCATCTCAAGGACAGGACACCATACTAAATGCTTGGAGAGTTCTGAAACAGTTTCCAGAAAACTCAGGAACTCCATAGCAGGTGTAAGTTTAATATTTATAGAATAAAACTAATCACTAAGGCAGCCATTGCTTGGTTACTATGTTTTACAAGTGCTCCACTTGCCAGTACTCAGCCTTGCCAGAACATGGCAGCTGATACCCTAGAGTGAGAAAAGACATGAGTCACAGTAGTCCTTCTTGTCTGAACATTCACAAAATATATGTAAACTGTTTACTTCAATGACTTGCCTGGATTCTTAGTTAAAACAAGAACTGCACACACATATTACTACACATGAATAACAGTATTAATTACTGGGTGTTTTTCTCACTCCTTTTCAATTGCTACCTTCTTTCATCTACATGCCATATATGGAAAGCAGAATGTACACATGAGTTCCAGCCCTGAAACCAGTATAAGCAAAGAACTCAATACTAAGTCACTCTCTTCAGGCAGGATAAAGAATCAATTTGAAAAATTAAAGTCCTCATCAAAAATTAAACATATTTGAGGCTCAAATTAATACAGTAAAATGTAAGGCTCTGTCTTATGTGACCACAGAGAAAAAGTTACTCACGGCAAGCTCCTGAAGTAGTTACCAACTGATGATCTAAGATCAACCTGATGACAAATTCCTTATGTAACAGGAGCCCAATTAATATTCATTAATCAAATCAAGAAATGAATAGCCATCATTTAAAAAGTACAACATTACTAAAAGATGACTCCTCATGTTGGAACACAATTTAGTAGAGAAGTATCAACTACCTATTAAGGACTTGTTACTTTGTTTTGTTTTATGTTTTGTTTAAGACAGGGCCTTGAGATATGGATCAGGCTGCCCTAGAACTTGAAATTCTTGTGCCTTAGCCTTCCAAGTTCTGGGATTATGAGCGTGCAGCACTACATCTGACTACTTGTTGAGATTTTTAGCAAACATATGGAGTGTGCGCCCTGCCATTCTTTGTAGAATAACATGCATGACATCAGACTTTTCACTGAAAACAGTTACTTAAGTTGCTTTATTACTGCTACAAATAATCTTTATTTGATGTAATGTAATAAAACATTTTCAAATTTAACAACATGTATTTGACCATAATCATTTAAATTATGAGTTGTAAGTATACACTGTCACTTTAGCAAATCTGCAGTTCGGGAATTTGTACAAGCTTTGTCTGACAGAACAGTGTCCACCTCCCCTCGCAGGACAGGCAGCCCTGCCCAGCATGTGGCCAGGAGCAATGTCAATGACAGCTGGAAGAAGTCCATAGTCCACGCTGGAATTCCATTTAGTCCTCCAAGAGGACAGACGGACCTCTTCATGGTCGGAAAATAATACTCTCTTTCAATTCTCTTTTATCAAATAATAGTTTGCCTTCCTTTTTCCCCTTATAGTTATGGATATTCTTTTTCTGATGTAGGTCTTTCCCTCTCTTCAGATCAGAGTCAGGACATAGTACCATTACAAAGGTAATGCTGGCCACAAAGGAACTCTGTTTCTTTCCCTGCCCTTAATGCCTATCACTTTGTATTGGAAGGAGGAGGGGTTGGGGGAGAGAATAAACCAGGCACACATTTGATTTCAGATACAGAGGACATAAAAACAACTTCCCTTGATGATACCAAATGGTGTTCTGGGGCTATTCCTACAGTGGTCCAGGTGATGTCAAATTCACCCAATGATTGCACTTGAGTTAATGTGTTCCTATTCTGTCTCCAGAAGCACCTAACCATTCATGGAAACCATTATTGCCTTAGGGATCTCACAAAGTCCGCAACACAAAGTTACGGACCTGCCCCAGGGGCTCACTGCACCCTTGTAGATGAGAGTGAACGACATGCCATAATCATGTTAATATACAATGTGGTTACGAAGCACTCACTCTTCATCCAAACTCCTCACAAAAGGAATCCCCTTGCCACTCAGGGCCTCTTTGAAGCAGGAGTGCACGAAATAGCTATTTTCAGATTTTTATGATTCTCTCCATCCTGAGATCTATTCCTGAGCTATACCATCACAATAAGGAAGTCCACAAAGAAAGTACACGGTGAGACGTCACAGAGACCCTGCAGAAAAGCCAAACGATTTGACGGAAGCTTTGAAACAAACACTGCTCTGAGGAATCATTTGTATTAGCTGATGACTGGGTTCTGTTTTCTAACATGACATGCAACATATTCAACACTACGCGTACCGCAGTTTGCTTGAAAAGAGACCCTTCTGTCAGAGCACAAAATATATTTTTTTTTGTCTTGTGAATGATTCCTGAATATTCATCACGATGCCTAGACTCAGAAGCCAGGGAAGTGTGCATTAGAACTTTCTCTCATTTGCATGGATGTGGACAGATGCAAAAGAAAGCACCAGAAACTGCTTCCCTTCTGGAACTCAGTTCTGTGAGTGTGCTTACTGCAGAGATGATCTGGCTGCCTTACATTGAGAATTATTTTCATTTGCACACAATAGCACTGATCCACAGGGGAAATAAAAAGGAGAAGCCACCACCTCCTCCATGAAACACTTTATACAACAGATCACCCCATGTGTCCCCACAAAGGACAGAAGCGGCATTCCAGTGCAGTCTTGGCAAATCATTTCATTCTGCTTCCACCTGTTTTGTCTTGTGTATTTCATCTCCATTATTCCAGTTTGGATTATGAATCATGACCTTTTTTTCTACAGTAGTCAGAGTTTTGTCTACAAGAGAGAGACAGAGACAGAGACAGAGAAAGAAAGAAAGAAAGGGAGAAAGAGAAGAAACATTTTAACAAAACCATTAATATGAGATTTCTCTTTGAGGTGGGTGTTGAAGACATGCCCCAGGCTCCTTGTCCACCTCTATCCAAAGCTGTGGCCCTCTGGTCATGTTTTCTCCTACTGTGAACCCTCCTTACCCCATCTCCCTATGTCCTCTTTTTACTAAAATCCTACCCTTCCTTCAAGACCCATTTCAAATACCACCTCCTTCCTAATTTCCACCATAATCTGCAAGGTTCATTTCTGTTGCATACCCCTCTGTATTGCCTGATTTTACATTGTGCTTGCTCTGTGTGTTATTTATTAGGAAAACAACAAGAAAAGTTAGATAGAGTAAAAGAGAGTAAGGTCAGGGTATAAATCAGTGGAAGAATGCATGCTTAGCATAAGACTCTCTGGTCCTCAGCACAAAAAATAAATAAATAAATAAATAATGGGGGGGGGGGTATTATTTGCCTTTCCTACTTTAAAACTTTAAGGAGCCATTGCAAAGCTAAAATGTAGACAACTGCCAAACATGGAACAAATAAGCTTATATTATTGCTTACTTTTTTAAAGTGCTGAATTTAAGCTAGTTAATGAGGAAAAATAACATTTGGGGATACTTTTATAAGTCCATAAAAAAAGCCATTTGCCAGTTTCTTTAAGAGAGCAACCCATATCCAGTGTTTCAGGAAACTTGATCTTTCTTCCCAGTTCTCTCTGGGACCCATTTCATTTCATTTTTTTTTTTCAAAAAAAATGATTCCCGCAAAGGAAGTGTCCATGATGCTGATTCCCAAAAGCTTCAGCATAAACCCTGGGGTGGCACATTAACAGAATTCACAGCAGAAACCCAAGGTTCTTCTACTATGAGACACTGCTAAGTACCACCGCAATCGACAGGGATTATAAAAGGCTCTTTGAAGAGAAAGACAATACAATCACAAAGGAGAAAAGGGGAAAATGAGAGAAAGAGCTACTTCAAAACAATTTCATGACATTCTTTTATATGGACGTATCTTAGAGACTACTTTTCAGTACCATTTATAAACGGTGTCAGAAATAAGTCATCACAATGCGACACACAAAAGCAATTTATGGCAATTGAAATCCATCAATAAAGCCATCCCATTGAAAAGACAAAAAAAATCTGGGCTTGTAACACATTGTTATGTTTGTTTGTATTATCAGTATCTGAACACTTAGATTTTAAGTGGAAATGATTAAAATTGATAGTAGTGAGTTCAAATTACCAGTACAAAAGTATTCACAACTTCCCCTCACCACCCCCTCTATTCACTCCATCGCTCCAAGGAAAATTCTCCAGTGCCTGCTGGACTCCCAAGGTTCTGGTTATGCTGATCAAGAAAATAGGCAGAAATGGGTAAATATTTAGAAGTAGCAACATGCAGTCTGGTAGACTGTTCACATAGGACAAGAAGAAAACTAGAGGGTAGAAGATAAAATGAAGCCCAAAAGTCAGAGCAAGAAGGAATACAACAGTAATGGAGACCAGAACTTCCAAGCAACCAGAGGGAAAAAGAGCTGAAGAAATTGGAGGGAGAGCCCTGATTAGTCATCGGATGTGTGAGAGCTCAAGAAAAATAGGATTGTAAGGTTTGCTGAGGACTATGGATTGGATGCCTTTTGTCATTCTTCCTGAGATGCCAGAGCAGAGACCGGTCCTATTATTCAGGCCCTATAGAGTATAGCTCAAAAACCCAACCCAAAGGTGCCAAAGAAGAAGTCTCCAAAGCATGACACTTAAGTAATTTTTGGCAATTCAAATCCATAAGTAGTTGCTCAACTAACATTTACCTGAATGCAACTATGCAGCCAGTGGACCTGATTGGGTCTTATTCTAGTTGTAAATCTTTTACTAGTCATCACCTACTACCTCAGCCCGGTGGCCATAAGCTTCCAGGGGGAAAGACTTTCCCATGTTTAGTTTCCTATCCCCACCTTATCTGGTGCCGTTTCTTATACATAGTAGGCCCTCAAATGTTTCTGAAGAAAAAGCCAATGAAGAGACTAATCCATCTAGCCTCTACCTTTTGATTCATCCCACTCGGTGGGATGATTTGGCTTTTGAAAGCTTACTGGGTAGAGGACCAGAGTCTACACTATTCTGAATGTAAATAATCCATTCTGTGGAGCAGCAGCTAGCTACTGATTCAGATAGCTTTCTGTGATATGCTTTAAGAAGTTGCCTGAAGGCTTATCTTGGGGTTCATTTCACCTAACATCAGCTCATCTGACCGTTTCTGCTTGACTCAGACATACACTAGTTATTGCAAATAAAGGAAACCATGGGACCTATGTTTCTTTGGGCCTGGCTTACTTCACTTCATATAATTTCTTCCAAGTCTTTCCATTTCCTAACGAATGGGGCGATGCCATTCTTTCGGATGGAGGCATAGCATTCACTGTGTATATATACCACGTTTTCTTGATCCGTTCACCTACTGAGGGGCATCTGGGCTGGGGAGAAGAGGAAGAGAGTGATAAGTGACCTTACAGCACAAACTCGGGCCTCTCGGGCCTCTCGGCGAGCTTCAGGGCCTCGTGCATGCCCGCCGCCGAGAGCTTCCGGTTGATGTTCCGGTACTGGCACTGGAGCAGGCTGCGGTAGGTGGTCCGCAGGTCCCGGTTGAAGAAGGCATATATAAAAGGGTTAATGAGCGAGTTTGCGTAGCCCAGCCACAGGCATGTCCTTTCCACCCACAGCGGGATGCAGCTGCAGGAGGTGCCGCAGATGAAGGGCCTGGCAGTGGAGAGGAGGAAGAAGGGCAGCCAGCACACGGTGAAGGCCCCGACGATGATGCCCAGGGTGGTGGCTGCTTTCTGTTCCCGCTTAAAGATGGAGATGTTTTTCCTCTCGTGTTTGAGGAGTCTCGAGAGGTTGGCGCACTCCTCCACCTCCTTCTGGAGCCGCCCCATGCCGTTCAGCGAGACGATGCTCTCGGGCTGCACCCGGGGGAAGCCGGGGAACTTGTGCTTGGCGGCGCTCCTGCGCGCCGCCTTGTAGATCTGGTAGTACATGAACAGCATGACCGACATGGGGATGTAGAACGCCACGGCGGTGGAGTAGATGGTGTAGCCGAAGTCCTGGCTGATCAGGCACACCTTGTCGTCATTCACGTTCTGGGCCCACCCGAAGAGCGGCGGCAGGGTGATGGAGGCGGACAGCAGCCAGACCGACAGGATCATCTTTGCCATGCATCTCCCGTTCTGCCTCACCGGGTAGGTGAGCGGCCTCGTGATCCCCAGGTACCTGGGGGAGGAAGGGGAAAGGGACACACGGTGAAGACCGGGGAGGTTCCAGCCCGCCCTCACACCATGATTCCTGGGTGCAGACCGGGGCTCTGAGACGCCACCTCTGACACCGCAAGAGGGGTCTGAGCCGGGACACACCACCGAGACCTCAAACCACTCATCCGGCCACGCGCTGGTCACCCAGACCCCTCTTCCTAACTCCGGGGCAGGCTGAGATCTGAGGATCACCGTCCAGAGCCAGACAGAGGCAGGGAAGCCCACGAGATTTTTATCTCCAGTTGGCCAGAAAAGAAAAGCTGGACGTGGAGGTGTGGTTGAAATGGTAGAACACCCACCCTGAGCAAAAATGCCAAGAGAATGTGGGGGCCCAAGTTCAAATTCCAGTCTGGACACAAAAACACATTTAAAAAAGCTTTGTCCATGTCATCGCTTGTTGCTTGTGGCCAATCATGTTGTCAATGAACTACAATGTGACACCTGGCCTTCCTCCATGACCACGATCAGGACTAAAATCAAGCAGGGGCAAGACATGGAGCCCAATCGGGAACGTTGTAACACATCCTCACAAATGACCAGCGTCTGTCACAATGGCATTATTTTCCCTCTGATCTCAGCAGCCTCAACTCAGGGCAGCTTTAAATTCATTTCAACTGCTTTACATCACATAGATTTGTAAGGTATTTTTTTGTTTGTTTGTTTTTTTAATCCTAGGATTTGGGACTGAAAATAGGAAGTGATTTTTTTTTAATCTTCAGAGAATTCACTCACACCAGAAAAATACCAGAAAAAAAATCGTTAAAATCGAAACAACTTTTGCTTCTTTGCCCAGTTCAGAAAGGGGGAAACGCTGAGAAATATCAGGCAAATCCAATGTTTCCTCTGTGCTTAGTTCTACATAAAGAATAAATACTTCTTCATCTCTGTTATAAAGAATTTATAGTGCAAAAGAAATACAACAAATAGATAATGTCTATATTGTAAAATATATGGTCAAAACCAGAGTATTTCGCAGCTTTTCAATTTTGTTTTTTCCCCTCATATTTAACAGTCTTACCTTCGTTGGGGAAGGATGCAGAAAGCACTTGAGAAACAAAAACATAAAAGCTCATCATTTTGTTGCATTTTTTTTACATTCTTTTAGTATAGCAAAGACATATTCTTGTTACATAAAAGAAAAGGTACAGAGAGTTTCTAACTTGCCAACACCATTTTCTGAAAGCCGATCAACTAGGATGCTAAAATGTAAAATAATCGCTCTAAAAAATTGATACTTAAACTATCACACCAAAATCTAAACCCAGGCTTCCACAATGAAAATTCAATAGAATACTTACAAAATAAAATTAAAATTTAGTAAGAAAGAATATGCATGAACATCATCTCTTCATTCCCTCTACTAATATAGACATTTCTGTGTAACTGGTTCCAGTCACACACATACACACACACACACACACACACACACACACACACACACACACACACAGATACCAAAATCTGCGGATATTCAAGTCACTGATATAAAATGCCATAGTATTTATACCTAACCTACACACATCTTACCATATGCTTTAAATCACATCTAGATTACTTATAATAACTGACATGATTTAAGTACTATATACATAGTTGTAATACTATATTGTCTATGGAATATTCTAAAAAAAAAAAAACAAACAAGTCTACATGTGTTCAGGACAGACACAGCCATAGTATGCCTAAGCATTACAACATTCTATCTGTGGTTGGTTGCATCTGAAGATGAACAACTCACAGATACAAAGGGCTGACTGTATTAAAAGAGCTCCTTTCACATGCTGGGAACTGTCCTAAATGTTGGAGGTATAACAGTAGATGAAAGAGGCAAAATTTTGTGGAAATGGACACAAGAAGAAATCATGCGGAGAGGAAGAAAGGATTGAGCCCAGTAATATGAAGGCAACATCTGGTCCCTTCCAAGAACTTTGGCATTCATGGCTTTACCACTTTCCCTTCCCCTTTTCTTGATGCAACTCACCCAGCAACAGTAGTCTTAGGTTTATCCACTGAAGTTAGGATTATGTTTCAGCTCCAAAACTGAAAGAAGAGTTGGGGGGGAGGGGTATACATGTTTTCTTGAGAATGCAAGAATAAGAGCTGATAAAAAAAAATTACAAAAAGGAACTAGGAAGAACAGAGAAAAAGAAAAGTGGGAAAGAAAGGTGAAATATAAACTAGGATTTGCTTTTTATGGAATTATCTGTGTTTAAAACTACGAGAACAACATATTTGGAAATTTTTCAGATGAAAGAGAGAGAGAGAGAAGAAAGAAAGAAAGAAAGAGAAAGAAAGAAGGAAAGAAAGAAAGAAAGAAAGAAAGATAGATAGATAGATAGATAGATAGATGTTGGCACTGACTGGGGACTCACAAAGAAACTGATCCTAGCCAGGGCTCCATTCAGACAAACCACCACAAAAGGAAATCTCCTTCCCTTGCTTTGCTTAAGACATCCTCTCAACTGTTTCCTGGAGAAAGCCCTTTACACATCCCTCTTGGATCTCTTCCTTGCCCTCTACGAGATCCTGTGGACGTGGCCTGTTGGGATTTTTTCCTCTTGTGTCCTAGCTTCCTTTAACAGGCAATTTCACAGAACTTAAGACTTTTATTCCCCTTCTCTCTGTGTCTATAGCTAAGACATCAAGGGTATGATTCTAATCTGGATTTGGATTGCAAAACACCAGCCAAATCTGAAGTCTCTGGTTCATGAACTAAGCAATCTGAGGTTAGTTCACATATTTCCCCAGGTGGCCACCAGGTGGCAATGGCAGACCACCTTACACCTACATAAGGGGAAAGGGGGTAACAAAATAGAACTACACAGGACACAAAATTATTTGTAGAGTTACCAAAAGAAACAAAAGTTAGCAAGCCTGGAATTCACAGCCCTGTAAACACCTATTTTTGTGGATGGCAATTCTGTTTTCCCTTACACTCTTTCGCATTTTCCATACTGGGAAGAGCAACATACCTTTGAGCTTGATTAAAAATTAAGCATTTCTCCCACCTACATAAATGATACAGAACTAATCCTTAGATATTAATTCAGGGAGTCCTAAAAGATATCTCAGAATGTGGGGAAATCTCATAGTAAGAGCATCTTTACATGTGCTAGTACACTTATCAGATTCTATTTAATAGTCATGGGGTCTTATTCTCTCTGCGTGAGTGTACAAATTACATTCCATAACACTGTTGTACTTTGACCCATTGTGTAACTATTTCAAGTTACATCCTACAGTAAAGTTGTTACATTTACTTCTTTAGTCTACTGAGTGCCACTTCATTAAGACTTCAGAAAGCTAAAACCAACTGAAAGATTACTAGGGGAAAAAAATGTCCACTAAACTGTCTGGATTTAAAATAAAGTCAAGAGCTTATGATTTGAAGGATTAAACATTTTCAAATATAATGGGGAAGTAATTTTTAACAATTCAAAACTATCTAAGGAAAAGCTTTAAAAATGGTGAGGATCTATGTGAATAAAACACAATAAATGCTACTGAACTACATAAAATAATACCTGAATTCATGAAAAATAAATTTTCTTTCTATAATGAGAAAAGTTCATTTTATAAAAGTACCAATCTTCCTTATTAATCATAACTAGCATACAACCCAAACTGTAAACTTACATAGGACTATTAGTTTGGTCAAATGATTTTAAGGTTCATCAAGTCAATTTGTAAAAAGGGACACAATCTGAAAGGAATACAGAAATTAAACTTAATCCCATAAAATAGTTCAAATTCAAAAAACTAAAAGCATAATAATATCTATTCAAAAACAGAAGAGGTCCAATAAATTAACTCAAATATGTAAGGGAATTTAAAATTACAGGATTCTGTTTAAATCAGCAATAAAAGATTGGTTATTCATGCATTCTGGCATCTATTTGTAATAAAAAAATAATCTTATCTTCTTGTCTTTTACCTTATTAAATATAAATCCTAGATAGATCAAAGATTACCATGAAAAATTAAAGCTTAAGATTACTGTGACAAAATACAAGTATTTCTTCAATCCTGAAATGACAAAGGCTGTTCTTAACTAGGATAAAAGTTTGACATTATAAAGTGACACAGTGACACATTTTACTGACAAAAATTTTTATGCATGAAAAGAAATAAATGATCATTTAATTTAAAAATCACTACACACAGAGTTAAAAGTAAATGCAACCAACAATATTCCAGTACTGAAAGGTCTCTCTTTCAGGTCAATAACAAAGATTACCATTCCAATAAAACAACTGAACAAAAACCAAAGACAAATACTAATAGCTAATATGTGGAATCGATCAATAATCAGAGATGAAAAATTTAACACAATGATGTACATTTCAATCATTTAGATTTTTAAGAAAGACAAAATCCAATACCGGGAAACTTCAGGACAAAAACCAGGCTCTCTATTACTTTGCTAGCAGAATTGCCAACAGAGATAACAACTCTACAGGATGTTTTAGCAGTTGATATATATCAACACTCACTCTTTGGCTCAGCAAGCAGACTTTTCAGGATTTTATAAAGGTCATTATGCAAATGCAAAATAGCTAGTATACAAAGACATTAGCAAAAAACATCCAAGAGGGGAAAAAGAGATGCAATCTATGTAGATATAAATAGATTAAATACATGAATTATACCCAGTAATGTACAGATGTGTTTGCAGGCGATGATTCAAAATTCTAATTTAGCCAGGTATAACGATACATTCCTATAATCTCAGCACTGAGAAGGCTAAAATAGGAGCTTGAGCTAGTGAGACTGTTTCAAAAGATCAACACAAAAAAAAAAGAAAAGAAAAATCTAAAAACTCTAAACCCCAAAAACCAAAGTGATAATGTACATGTAAGTTTCCTGACAGAAGAGTGATAGAAAAATGGCACTTAGACTATAAAACATAAATAGAATATATCATAAAATATATGAAATATTTAACATAAAGTTGTGTGTATG